CAAGGCCCAAGACGCCTTTAACGTCTCGTGTAAATATTTATCTTCTTGTCTTGCCTATTTAGCGCAAGATTTGCATATTTGATTCCATGACTAACAGGCCAAGCACATTGACATCCCATCAAGTCGAAGAATGGACACTTTTGGACCACCCCGAAAATAGTTTTGGGCCCAAACTCAGACAAAAGGGCCGCTGCTGATGGGGAGATGAAAGGAGTAGAAATTGGCCCCTGGCTGGCAGCATGCCCGATTTTGGATGACATCGAGAGATGAGAAAAATGCCAAATACTTGGCGCACACACAATGCCAGAAATCTTAATTATTTAGCCAAACATGTGTTAGCTGTAGGATTGCTGCATAGTCGGCAATCCCTCAGATACGCGTGTGCTATAAGATATATTATTGTACACAAAAAGAGAGCGGCGAGATCGAGCAGAAGAACGAGTGGTTTCCATCGTGTAAAGCGACAGGCCACCATAAGTCAAATTGAAATCTTGTCAGCAGACCAAGAAATGATCTCTAGCCAAGACTAAAAAAAATGCTAAAATATAAAAGCCAGAGAAGATGGGGCAAGAAATGTTATTTATTTGCAACACAAGAAATTTAATTGAAAACACAAATAAATAGTGTGGCAAACATAACCCAGAAACCAAATCAAATATGCCAACCGAATGCAAAAATCAATTTGCCACAGTGCAAATGAAATAAAATTGGCAAATATCAAATGTCGCTCACGCAAAATGGAAATGGAAATGGAAAAATAAATACAAATGAAAATAGGGAAAGAAATATTGAAGAAGTCGGCCAAAGACTACTAGGATTTTCCACTCCTGATTAAATTTCTTATACTTTATTAAGGCAGAAAGGTATTCTTTTTGCAGTAAATGAAGGAAAATAACCAAGTCTGTTCCATGATTTGTAAGTCTTGTTTCTCACACAAACAGACAGCAAATATTTCTGGCATTTTCCTGCAACACATCTCCCACATACTCTCTCTTCTCCGCCTATTTGACCACAAAAAGGAAGTGCATTATGCAAAAGGACCAGCTTAAACTTCATTTAAAAATGCCACCGAGTGGAAAACAACCTTGGAGAAGCGTACCACACACACACACATAACACCCAGAGCCACGAGCCAAAAAGAGAACAGCAACCACAGGATTTAAGGGCAACATTGGTGGATAAGGCAGCAACATCTCCAACGAAACGAGCAACGCCAGGCAGCAGCAACATGAGCAACAGAAGCAGCAGCAACAGCAACAGCATCCTCATAACTAGCAACTGCAGAAACTAAAGCAAAAATGCCTGGCAGCAACAGCATCCGAGCAAAGATTGAATGCAATACACAAAAGAGCCAAATTCCATGCCAAACAATAACAACAAGAATAAGAAAGAAGCTGGTCAAAGTAAATCGACCATAAAATACCCGATTGAGATTAATATTTAAAGATAAAGTATAAACTTTTAAGCTTCTATAAACAAAAAACACAAATTTCTTTAATCTATAAAAATCTTAGAATAATTTCTTATTATTTTTCTTCAACAAGCCTTTTATAAAACCTTTTCCATCATACCCCTTTGCCTTTGACAAACACTGGGTATTTAAATTGTACGAGGAAATGCTTAACACAAACACTGTGAAAAAGAAGAAAATCTGAGACACCGAGACGGAGATACGGAGACACGGACTGCAAGAGCAGACGGAGGCAATCCGAGGCGAAAATCCCGACCAGAGACAAATGTGGGTCGAAAGCGCAAAGTGCAACAACTCGCACGCACTGCAACAGCAGCAGGCAGCAGCATCCAGCATCAAAAGCAGCAGCTGAGGAGGCGCAAAGAGGGGGGGAAATCCCGGGAAAATACAGCGCCGCACGCGCCTCCGCCGGAAAATGTCTCGGGGAATGGGGGCGAAAAACAAAGGCAAAAAACTAAACCACTTTTTTGGCACTTGCTGCTGCTGCTGCTGCTGCTGTCTGAAGCCCCGGAGCTGGAGCTCGTTGGACGTCGAGCAGGGAACTGCTCCTCCTCCTTCTTTTGCCCCCCGACGACATCACGAATTGCCGTTGTCGTTGTCGTTCTTGTTTTCGGTGTCTGGAGTTGTCTGGGGCTCCTTGAACAGCTTAAGTGAAATTTAATGATATCTTCTCACAGGCCAGGGCTGGCCTGGCCAGGAAGGGAATCAGCAACAGGTGGTGGTGCCTGCTTTCTGGCTTGTTTTCGGGAGCGCCGCCTGCTGTTTGGCTAATTTGTTGAATTAAAGTTTTTGATTTTATTGCTGATAGTTGGCCCAGGCCCAGGCCAACGAAGCCCAGCAACTGCAACAATTGGCCAAGGGAAAATTATATAAAAAGGATTTTAAGCAGAGTAAAAGGTGTGAAATTTTAACAAATTAAAGAATTAAAAATTATATTTAAGTAAAAGAATGTTTTTAATTAAAAGTTCAATCAAATTTTTGAATATTTCCTTGACATTTTTTAATTTTAAAAATTGAATAAAAAGAGTTTGCCTTGAAAATAAATGTACACAAATTTTAAGAATTGCTAAAAATCATAAAAAATAAAATTAAAGGTTAAATTAAATGTTTTTTAAATATTTCCTAGAAAAGGTTTATTAACTAAACAAAGACCTAATCTTTTTGTAAATTAATATAAATATTAAGCAAACCTTTTTAAAAATTATCAAGTTAGTGTTTAAAAATTGACTATTTTCTTCCACTGTCTTTATTAAAATTATTAATTTGTTCTCCACCTGCACATAAATACATCAGGTTTATGGATATGACATTTTGCCTGTGAAAATTGCCTCATTGCTTTCGCGGCGGAGTGCGTGGGCCACATTTCTAATGACTTGCTGTAGGTGATGATGTCGTCGCAGAAGCAATCGCAATCGCATTCACCCACAGAGAACATCGCAATCGGAACAGTTTATTTCGTTTAAGAGCAATTGAAATAAATTCTAAGGCAAAATTGCTCCCGACTGCAAAAATACAAACGAAAGGCGGGAACAAGATGATGATGATGGAGGAAGAGCAAACAAGCTGTGTATAGTAGCCCCTCGGCAACTCTGAGATTTTTGTCTTTCTTGCTCGTTGGTGGGGCTAATGTCCAAATGCACTTAAAACTGCTGAGGCCATGTAAATGGGCCTCAATGAGCTCCCATCCACACATTTGTGTCGCATTTCATAGTTTTGCTCCAGCACTTGAGGGCAGTTCGGGGAGTTTCAAGTAGTTTTTATTTCCCAGCAGAAAAAAAATATATAAAACAACTGAAATGGAAAACGCGTGGGAGTCTAAAGCAACAAAAAAATAATTAGGAAATGGAAAAAAATCCATAATGGAGCCAAAGCTCGATGATCTGTCATTCGTTGCTGCTGTTGCTACATAAAAAATTATTTATCCAAAAGCTCAAAATTTATTTGCACTGCCCGCTTGCTACTTCTCCCTGAATTTCATTGTTTTTGTTTGGTTCGCGTCATTATTTAGCTAGAAAAAATACAAAATTCAAACCACCATGTTGACAGAGCAACAAAAGTCGTGTGTTTGCGCTTAGTTTGGTTTCTTTTTTCCGTTTTTTTGAGTGCATTTGGAGCGACGTTGTCGGAATATGATGACATTAAATGGAATAAACAAAATACATAAAGATTATGTACACCGAGCGCTATACTTTTGTACATGAAATGAAATGAACATCTACATGTTGGTTTTCAGCTATTATATATATATTGAAAAGCATCGCTGGGAAATTAAAGTTGAAACTATAGATTCTAATGTTGAAAAACTAGATTATCAAATTTAATGTTCTTTTTCAATCTATTCGTTATTTTCTTTGAAATATAATGATTTTTTAATATTTAATAAAAAGAATACTTCATGAACAATTAATAAAATTTAATTTGTGAAATTCTCCGAAATGTAATAAAGACTTCTTGGCCTGGATTTACATGTAACTGAATGCTTATTTAATCTTTTTTATACAATATTTATTTGGCTTCCATTTCCTTCTCACGATTCTTGTATTTTCCATAATTCCATTGAATTCAATTACAAACACATTTTGGCAGGGAACTCACGCAACCACCGAAATGCAATTGCGATTGTAAGACAAACTTCAAGTGCAGCAGCAGCAGCTGTTGCCACAAGGCAAGCCCCCAAGCTAGACCCAAAGTTATCTATGAATCCCCTCTTCTGCCAGGTCGAGGACAGGAGAGAATTTACCCAGCAATGTGCGTGTCGCCTCTAAGCAAGTTTAACTACTCGTATTCCTTGGCATTCTCAGTGGAACCCCAACTCGAGCTCACTCTATTTAGCATGCAGAGAAGCCAGTCGCCCTCTGTCTGCGTCTGCATAAATGATATGCAGCGGGTGAATCAAATAAAATAAGATAAGACGAAGGAAAAAATAAAGCCAAGTTTGGATATACATATGCAGTGCGATACGAGATTATAAGGTCTTGAAAAATTGCAAAGTTTTTGATGATTAACTCAGTTTTTACACGCTAGAATTATGTTAGTTATTAAAAACTAAGTGGAAGTTTTTTAGGAAATCTTGGGAAAGTTGTTTTCAGAAGCCTAAACAAACAACTTATAAACAGATATTCTTCGAAGATTGAATTTTATAAAAAATATATATCAGAAAAATAATAATTCACGCCATTAATATGTTTTTAAAATGTTTTCCGATATATTTTATATTAAAAGCATTAAAAAGGTTTCCAAAAAAGACCCTCTACTTATACCGAAACGCACTGTCTGTCTTATATGCACAAGAAATATTTTTAATAACTGCCACAAAAGTGCAGGCAGCAGCAGCTCAGGCAGCCACCTTTTTTCTCATTCAAAGTCAAAGTCGAAACGCCCGAATGAATTTATGTGACAGCTGCCCCCCTCATAGATACTTCCGAATGTCTTAAAATAAAAAGGGAAATCAGATAGATATATGTATGTATATTTATAAATATATATATGGGTAGATTTATGTGATAAGATTTGCTGCTGATTTACTCACCCACTTTAGAAGAACCCACACATGTGGAGCCGCATTCAGCGCTGGCTGGCGCCTTCTAAGTTTAGTGATAAATGATTTTGATTTCGGCTCGCTAAAAGCAACTCTTGATATCGCGACAAAAACTAACGAACTTTCAAGTGAGCCAATAGGCTGGTTAGGGGGCTGAAGGGACAACCGAAAAAATCGAGTCACACACAATACAAAATACAAATTAAGAAAACTAAAAATATAATACACAATATATTAGCCGATAGGGTTATTAATAGATGGTTTCTCCTTCTCCTGATTATTTATGAGAACACACAAATTCACTGAATATCAAGCAAGTAATTGGCCGGCGATTTAATGGACATTCAAAGAAATTAATTTCGTTGGCCAGGGAGCACTCTAATAAATTTGCATTTGACATTCACCTAAGGCTCGGGGGATTAAGACATCTCACATTTGGATGTCAACACAAAAAGATTTGATATCTTTTTGATTATTTTTCAAACACACATCAAGTAGTATTATTTAGCAATATATTCTATGCGGCTTGCTGTGCCTGCCAACTTGGCCAAATATTGAGATTTTGATTTGGATTTTGATTTCGATTTCGATTTCAAGACACACTGACACTGCACACGACACTGCTGTTGGATTGGTGGTGGTGTTGGTTTTGGTTGTTTTTTATATATATTTTTTTTATGGTGGTGCTAGTAGCTAGTAGCAGTGGTTGTACTAGTAGAAGGGGGAGCGGACGGGCGCCTGTAAGAATCGAAAGAGAACAAAACAATTCCGATATGAGACAACAAGTTTCGTTTATATATCAATATATATATCTTGGGGTTTTCTGGAGGTGGTGTTTTGATTTGTACACAAATATACAATATATATTGATAATGCAAGGCATGATCTTTGTTAAGCTTGCAAGAAGAAAGTGGGACAGACACAGAGATAGAGATATAGATAGAAATAGGGAGTAAGAGAAAGAGAAAGAGAGAAAGAGAGGAGGGTCTAGGAAAAATAGTTAGGAAAAACTTTTTGCCTTGGAAAATGAGCTGAGGAAAGAAAACTTTGACAAAAGTCGCCTTATTGAAAAAAAAAAAGCTACGATAGTTTTATACGGGCAGTATTATGCAAACGACATAAAATACCCGGCAAACAGCTCGTAAAAAACATTGCATACTCTTTGGCGTTAAGCCATATTTGTTGTAGGAATAATTTATTAAATTTTTTTATAAAATAAAATGCAATTTTGAAAAGGAAATGTTCTTTCTTCTAGAACTCTATAAGATTTAAGAGAAGAAAAAGAAAGGTACAACTTTTTTAAAATATTCAGAGCTTGTAGAATTATACAGAAGACTTGCCATAGCGGGTTATAATAGTATAAAATAGAATACAAAACGAGGAGGAGCATTCCCCATTCGATTGTGTGAATATATTTATAGAATATTTTTATTGTGAAAATGGCATTTAAAATTATTGTATAAATGTTTAGAAAACATTTCAAAATAGCGCAACACCCACGATAAAGACAGGGCCCCAGACAGGCTACCAAAACAAGAGACAGGGATTGAGAAAGAGAGAGACAGAGAAAGAGGGAAAGATAGACAGAGATAAACAGAGATAGTGTGCAGACGAGAGAGAGAGAGAGGAACAGAGATATGGCAATAAAACAGCTTTTAGGGACAGGCAGAATATAGTGAGGGGTGTTGGTTGATGGTGGCCAATAAATAAATAAAATAATAAACAAAACAAAACAAAAATTAAAAAAAAAAAGTGGAACAGCACAACAGCAAGCGCATAAAATACTATTAATATATATATATTTTGGTATGTACATAGGGATATAGAATTTGAATATACATCCAAGTATAGAAAGGATGTGTGGTGAATGTGTGTTCATTTATTTGAGTGATTATTTGTTTATCTACAGTTGGATTTGTTTGTCTGATAGTTTTATTTGGCGGTTAACTTATGATGTGTTTATGTGGAGAATATTGATAAAATGAATATATTGATGGAGATATTATAGTAGCTTATGTGGTTACAAATGATTGTATTGTACATTATTTATAAGTGTCCTTGGGCACTTCTTAAGATTTCTTGACACTGAACCCTTGACATTTGAGTATCGGGTTTAACCGACAAAAATTTCACCCCTAATTACATAGAAGCAACACGTTCACCCCTTAGAAACCCTTTCGTGCTTCCCCTTTTCTTTTATTTTTTTTTAACCCGGCAACCGAAGAAGCTGAACAAATTCCAGACACCGAACAGCTGTCGTCTCACTTTCTTATCAATCAAACGGCAAACACTAGCAGACAATCACACACAATCTTAGCATATAAAGGTAACGTGTGTGGTATTTAAGTTGTCAAGCTTATGTTTGACACATACGTGCAGCCTGATAAAAAAAATAAACGGGATGCACGGAAAAAGAAAAGTATCAGCAACCGATTAAAGGTTGGTTCTAAATTTATAGCTTGATCGAAGATACCTGATGAGTGATAAGACTGAGGTCCGCTATGATAATTATAAATTTTATTTTTTGAATATATTTTAATTGTGATTTTAAGTTAAATTTATATAATTGTATTAAAATTATTTTGATAAGAATAAGATAAGATCTATCTGATTATAATTCTGATTTTGCGACATTTAAAATCATATCATAAATATGATTAGAGTGACCAAGCTTTGGATTGACAAGAAAGATTAATAAAATTAAAGTCACATAATATTTATTCAAATTTGTTACTCGATTAATGGCAAAACCTCAAATCTATTCCCCATTTCCAGTGTACAATTATCAACGGTAAATTGCAGAGAATTGTAGAGGGGATTTTCCAACCTCCCCCCCTTGTGAATGATAGAGTGAGTGACAACACACGGCCATCGCCACCTCACTCGATTGATGTGTTGTGTCCGTCGGTTTGTGGGCCATTTGAGCGGTCTATTATGCGGCACATCTCCCCCAATTGATGCATGCACCCCCAAAACCCCCGCACACACACACACTGGCCGCATAATGCCCCATAATATGACAGGCAAAATCATCGTCATCATCTCCATATACTCATACGCCGTGTTCATTTGCATCACACATCAACACCTTAACAAATTGACGCATTTTACACACTCAACACATCCCGGCAAGGAGGCAATGAGGTTGAGAACTAAGCCAAACAGAAAAAGATCGATCATGCCCAATATCAATAAATACTGACCCCCCCCTCTCCCCGACCAGCCACTAAACAACTCGATAATGATGATGATGGTCCGTTGGGTATTTTCCGAAGCAGATTTTCCTATTTCATCTCATTTCTGAGCGTGTGCGCTGATTGGCCTTTCATGTTTTACGAGTTTCGTCTGGAAAATCAATGAAAATTCCACGCCAGACATAATTAAATCTAATATTTGTTTGTGCAGATATATATTTGGATAAATATACTAAAGATTTGAATGCCTTTAGATGGTTGGGAATAGTCCATCAATCCTAATCAACTCGACCTTCCCACTGGTGTAGGCTTGATTTTTTTTTCTTCTATTTCTTTAGAGTGCCAAATTTGAGGGCCCAAACCGGTTTCAGTTACCAGACACACGCACTTTTTTCTGCTCGTATTGTTTGAGAGCCAAGTTCAAAGAGTAAAGTCGAGGTAAACAAAAAAAATGAGTATCATTAATCATTTCACAGCCGACAATCTCCGGCAGAGTGTGTGTGTATATTTCGGGTTACGCATGTGCGTTAGTTAATTTGTATGGCTGCGTTAATTAACCAAAGCGAAAAGGCTTTGCGCACTTGTCCCTAAGATTTGGCCTCCTCGAATTTTGTTTTTTTGTTTCCTCTCAGCAACCATTAGCTGTGAGAAACAGACTGAATCGCAACGCTTGAAAGCGTCGAGTGGAGAAGAACGCAAACGGAGAAACTACTAGAGAACCAAAACTTGGCTCGGAAGCAATCAAACATCGTACAAATATATGTAACAAATTTATGTGAAAACAAAAATCAACGAGAAGCCTGAATCTTGCGACTTTGGGGTACCCAATAATTATACAAATGTTTGTTCTTTTTTATAATTTTTGTAAAATGTTATATTTCGTTTATATTTATTTAAAAAGAAACTAAAGTTCTTGGGTTCTTCCCTATATGATAATTTTAAAAATCCCTAAATTAATATCTTATTACACATTAAATATTAAGTTACTATAAAGTATGGTTGGGCATTGAATAAGAATTTGTTTTGTCAATCTTTAAGACTTTAAGCAAAAGATTTTTGTATAAAACCCATAAAATTCTAAATGAATCTTTACTTTTTTGAGCTTAGAAAAATCAGATTTGCCTAAACATCTCACAAGTCTCATTTCCCATACAGAGAAGCAGAGTAAACCCAACTTTTTAAATCACTCCAGCATACCCTCCTTCAGTGAATGCCGGGTATAGAAACCATATGCAGATACAATCGCGCCACACACTTAAAAACACGAGAGAGAAGCCTGAAGCGCCGAAGCCCCGAAAATTTGTGCTCAAGGTCAGGCCCGTTGAAATTTCGAAACTGGGCATTCAACTTGATAATTTATGAAACGCGTTTGGGTATACGTACGTACATATACATATATATATGCGAGTAACTACGAGTAGGGGAAGGGTACGATCACTGAAGACCGAACCCCGAACCAAAACCAAAAATGAACAAAATGCGCAAGCGTGGCTCCAGGCCCCCAGAATTTTTTCGCTTTTTTCGCTTTGGCGCAAGGGAGACGGCAAGATAAGCTCATCCAAATATGGAGCAGGGAGATCTGTCTCTGTCTGTGGAGATCCCGGTCTCTGAGAAAGATACGATCCATTGATCTCGGCTTTATTCTCGACGCAGTTTGCGCAAGGGGTCTGTTTGCCTCAGACCGTCATAAATTTGCTCTTGATGATTTGATTGCCGCCCCGTTTAGTCCGCTTTTTTGTCGCATTTTCTGTACATCTCAAATAAATATAAAAAAAAAAATAAACCATTTTGTACTGGGCTTCATCCCCAAGCGAGAAGTTCTTTCAACCCAGTGACTCAGTTTCGATTGCAGTACAGGTAAAACGTGTTTCAGCTTTTGGCTTTCTGTTCGGTTTCGGTTCTGTTTCGTTCTTTTCTGTTATGCTTTTATTTTAATTATCTTTTATTACCGCACGCATTCAGCCTTGGCAGTGAAACAAATGGAGTTTAATGCGGCGTGTAAATTCGGTTATCTAGAAATAGCAAACGAGACTCTTTTTTTTGTGGCGAACAGAAACAATTTCTTCTAATGGCTGATAAGAGAGAAAACTAATGAAAACCCCCTGATAACTATGTACAATACAGAGAGAAAATAAGTAGGGACTAGTTATAATATTTTGATTTTATGGAACAACATTGTTCCCCTTATAATAATTATATAGCACTTAACACTGGTTATTAATTAGAACTACCTATAAAAAAGTAATTATTTCATATTTCCGCTTTTTACACTGAAATAAAACCTATAAAATTTCACGACCAGACTTTCTACAATATATAAAGATACAAAAACTTAAGCCAGAAACAACAATAATTTTAAACACATAAAAAACCTCTTTTTAATGCTTTTTCTCTTGGTGTATCCAGCACACGCGACTTTTATCGGAGTAAAAAAAAATATTGAAGGGGGTGGCAAGAGGGTAGCTGGGTAAGTGGGCGGTGTGTACAAGACTGACAACTGTTAATCAACAAATTGATGACTGAATGCAGCACATATGCGGGTGCCACATTTCATTTACTTTCGATTTTGCACAAAACCAATGGACAGGGATGTGTGGGGGCGTGGCAAGGGGGGGCCAAACACACTGCCGACGACGACAACAATTGGAGACTTCCACTAAATCCCGTACTCGCACATCCAAAGCCAGACGCTAATTTGATATTTTAATGGCTTTTTGTTTGCAAATTACGCTTGACTCGGCGTCGCGTCGCCCCTGCAACCTTCCCTTCCAACCCGCTGGGTAGTGAGCCCCCCACTTTGCCCTCTTTAAATGACTCGTTTGTGTCTAAAATAACGGCGCTAGTTGTACGACACTGGATACTGGATACTGTGAGTGTTATTCATATATATATTTTTTTTTTGTTTTCACGTAAACTTTTTTATTCTTTAAAAAGCGAACACGACTCGCTCCGGAATGCAATTCGAGTTGTGCGTGTGGAAGGGACTTCAATGGGAGGTCTGAATAAAAATAGTCATTAATGAACCTTTAGCCACTTCCTATAACTTAAATATTCCATACAAATAAAATCCATTCCTTATAAATGTCCCATAACCTTTAAATTTTAAATTAAACTGAGAAAATTTTAAATTATAAGCCCCAATAGTATTGTCCCTTTATTTTTTAATTAAAAAAAAATTTTCAATAACATATTGAAAACACTTTGAAGATAAAGTTCCCATAAATTAACTTTTAATAAAAATAAAATCAATTTGATGATTTTATTAAACATTTTTATATATCCTTAGGGTCTTTAAAGCTCAGTCAAACCTTTTTATATAAATAAAATTTCTCAAAATAAATATAAAATAAGTAAAGCAGCCTCAAAGCTCACAGAAAACTACATCTTAAAGAGCCAAAATCACACACTCATTCATAAATCTTTCAATGTTTTCCCTGTGGAACCCGAAATGTTGCACATTGACTCTCCCCACTGGTGGTATTCATTAGCACCCGCGACTGAAACTAAACAGAATAAATAGCTCCAGTGACCCCCCCGTGGGATTCCCCCCGTTTGACCAAAAGCCAGCGAGAAACGGCAGCCACAGGTCACCTCAAAAATGTCAACAAAATGAAAAACCTATACTCGGACACGGCAGTCAAAGTCAGGTGCATGGCGGATCTGTCCTGTGTGTGGTCAAAACCACAAAAACCACAGCCGAGGCAAAGCAAAGCAAACCGCGGGGCAATGGGCGGATCGCAGTAACCAAAAAAATTATGAAAATTACATTGAGCATGCCAAAAATGAGTCAGCGAAATTATGTAAAAAGAGAGCTAGGAGGAGAGACAGACGATGGATAATCAAAGGTGAATAAATAAAAACGAAAACGAAACAAAAATCAAAAGAAAAGGGCCAAGTGAGAGAGAACAAAGGGGATGAGATCGGTGGAATTGCACAATAAGACAACAACAGCAGCAACAAAAGAAAACCAAATAAACAATTTGTAATCAGAGTACAAGACCCTTGAAATTAAAAATCACTCAAGACATTAAAGATACCCCTGGAATCAAGGTCAACTTTCAAATATTCAAATATTTCTTTTAATTAATAAATAATTATGGGATTTGCAATTAATTGAGAAAGAGGGAAAAAGTAAATACCTAAATAAATTGGGGTAATGTAAAATAATAATACTTAACTTATTTAGACAAATTCTGGCTCAATATCTAACCTGAAGTCGAACCCCCCTAAAAAACTCACATACCCCATCAATTGTAGGGCATACAAATAAAATGAGGTAGCAAAAAAAAAAAAGGTGAAAGAAACACAAAACGCAATCACGGACAATGAGTGCATGACAGAGACAGCGAAAGTAAAAGAGAGACAGAGCGGGGAGTTATTTAGAGTGCGTGGGCAGCAGGTAAAAAATTGAATATAAAAAAAAGGTAAAGAGAGCTGAGCATCCGGAATTTCGGAATCAGGCAGGCCAAGGGTACAAAGCGGTAATGATAAAAATGTATTAATAAACAGAGAGATTGTTGAAAATAAAGATAAATATTACAGTAATATGCAGGCGAGGATAAATACAATAAAAATGGGTTAAAATTTTAAAAATAAAACTTACAAAAGGTTGAGCAAAACGGCAGCAGACTTGCTCTCTTGCTGTTGATATAGTTTTTGAATGTTGTATCCACAGCTTTTATTGTTTTATTATTAATACCGGGTTTAAAATTTTTGATCTGAATCACTTTTGATAATTTTAATACGTTTGTTTAAAGAAGAGGGACGTTACACGAAGAAATATAGGATATATCATATGATCCAAATGAAATGTAAACACTGCAATTGAAAATTTCAAGATGTTCAAATATTGCAATATAGCAGAAATAGATATTACTCGAAAAATGAAAGTTATTTACATATTTTCCAAATTTTAAAGATCAAGTATCTGACTGATGTAATAATACAATAAAATAACGAATAATAAAATGAATAAAACAAACATGGTTTAGTTGGAAATTACTTTAAGATCAAATATCTTAGGAAATTATGATAATTATTACAAACAATGACTTTTACACATTTGAAAGTACGTTAAAAAATTACTAGATTTATGCATTTATTTAACATTATTTCTGACAATTTAAAGCTTTTTCACTTTTGCGAGCAAACACTGTATTTTTACTGAAATTCGGAAGGGGTGCATCCACACGATCCTTCCAGAGTATTCCAGTGCGTGCACCCACGCGGATTTCTGTTTTGTTTTCCTTTCCTATTCGCTGGTAACTGGACTAACCGGCGGCGGAATCGTTCCGGATTTTCGATCTATTTACTTTACGTGGCCAGGTGATCGCCGTGGCCAATTGAAACACAAAACACACACACAATAAGAACACAAACGAGGCGAGGTGAGACGAGGCGCGAAAGAAAGGACACGGGGGAAAACTAAAAAATATAACGGAACGAGACCGAAACGGGACAAAAGGGATTGACGTATAACCGAATGCCAACTGGAAGGCGGAGCTGGAAAAGCGTCGATCGAACTTTAAAATGACATCAAAGTCAAACTATTATTTCGGCAATAATTGCCCACGTTTTGGTATACGTTTTTGCGTGTGTGTTTCCACTTTATTATTATTCCCACAAATTCGTCAACTGCGCGCTTTTTTTTATCCGCAGCTCCGCTTTGTTCTCGCACACTTTCAACTCTTCCAACTGTTGGATTTTCTTCTTGTTGCCTTGAGAACTCACGGATTTTTCGCTATTTTCTATGACTTTTCTAGGCGCCACATGCGCATTAACGGCTGTCGGCAAATCAAGTATTAATTAATTTAAATCACTCGCGCTGCACGCTTTCTGTTTGTTCTTTTGGCAACAACAACAACAAAACTGATCGGTGATGTTTATAATGTGGCCAGCTGATCGAGTAAAAGTGTGACCAGCTGTCACTACCCCTAAAATCCTTGTTTTTTAGTTTCGAACAACACCTGATACTCAAACCCATACTGATATTCGAACCACATCTGATACTACAACCTCCGGTCCCAAACGATCGCCTTGGTTTCGTAGCATTTGGCTTTTGTTTAAATAGTAAATACGTTGAAATTTGAAAATAAACATGAAAAATATTATAAAGTGAAAATTAAATAAATAAACTTCTTTGCAAAAAAATTTAAGTAAACTAATATATAAAAATATGAAAAATGTTGTTCTACCATACCATAAACATTTTATTTATCAAAAAATCAAATTTGGCCTGCGGCCAAAAAATTTAACAATCAAAAAGCAAACATTTCCCATTTAGATAAGAATATTTTTACAGTCAAGGTAAAATGTCTAGGTCTTCTTTTTTGGTTATTTTAATACTTATTTAGTTTACAGCTGATTTTTTGGTTAACTAATGTCGACTGGTTTCTTAAACTTTAAAAAAAAATTTTAATAAATTTCAACTTTACTGAAAATTAAACTTTACTCCTATTATCTGAACCTCCGTTGTACGTTTAGAATTCCCACTGATCTCCGCTGACGTCACTTTCGTCCCACTAACTGATACCACGTGCTGACTCACGCGTGACGAGACGATCGCCAAATTTTCGTCTCTCACGCTGTCGGCATTGTACTATGGGAAATTAAGTATATTTTAATGTTAAAAATTGATTAAATATCTGTCTGTGCATACTTTTATTATTTTATTTTATTAGCCTTGACTTTAAATTTGTAACAGATGTTAGTAGAAATATTATTTTTAGAAAGGTCTTTAACTGTAACAGCTGTTAAATATTTTTAAACTGTTAAATATTTTTAAAATACATTTAACAGCTGTTAGTTAAAGCCCTTTCTAGAAATATTTAACAGCTGTTAGTAAACATCCATACAGAAAATGTATCTTTAAGATGACAACTGCTGCAGGATTTAAAGGTTTAAAGTTTTCAAAGTAATGCAATTTTGACGATATTTTCAAAATTCTTCTAAAAGATTGATTCTCAAAAGTGAATATTTATATTTTACATTTTACCCGGTGTTTCTATTAAATATTTTTGGATTTAGTTTCATAATTTACGTATTTTCCAAATATTTTTCAAAAAATCTGCTTAGCGATATAACTTAAATTTTTAAGATTTCGTAAATTCATTTATTTTAATTTAAACCTAAAAAATCGTAAAAAATCCCCACAGTTCTCTGGCGGCGCGACTTATATTTCCCGATTCTCCCCGCTCAGAGAGCCGAGAACAGAAAATAATTACAAACGACCCAACAACAGTCGAGACGCGTCGCCTCGCATTTCGAATAAAATAAAATTAAGTAGAATTGAGAGCGCCAATCGGCATTCGGCAGCGGGAGCAAGGCGATCGCGCACAGCAAATAGAGAAAAATAATAGAATAGTTTCGAAATAGAAAGATCGGAAAAAGAAGCGCTAACTAACAAGCACGCGGCAAATCGGAATCGGAAAAACGGGTCGAACAACAAAATCAAAACAAAAACCAAATTAAAATCAGATATTAATAGTACACAACAGCAACAACAGCAGCAACAAAAGGTTCGGTTAACAAGTGAATGCAGATATTTGCATATATAGCAATGGCAACAATGTTGCACAAAAATATTTGCATACCTCCCAAGATATTTGCAGTAAATTCTTTAAATTAAATGTGGTTTTAGTGTTTTGAAATAAAATAAAAATGAAATAAAACTAAAATCAAAAATTCAAGTGAAACGAACCCAAAAAAATGGCCGTGTCAGGCTTGAAGTAATTTGGAAAATGTGGCACAAAAATGCAATACTAAACAATTTCGAGTGTGCAAATATGTGCAGACTTGGTCCCAAAAAATAAAAACACACTCTGAAATCTAAATACACAGACAAGGACACCCAACTAAACGCATTGAATCGATTTTTTTTATATTTTTTCTACACCCGATACTCACTGAAACCGGCGGGAATGTCGCTTTCTTGTTTATGTTGGCGCATAAACAATTAAGGCTTCAATTACTAAAGGGTCCACAAAACAGAAAAAAAACAATTTGCTGATAAAGCTAATAAAAGTTTGCTCTGGCAATTAATTTCTCAGATTTATTCGATTTTATCATCACAAAAAAATCTTCGTTGAAAATGGAAGTTGAAGAAAGAGTTCTGTGGCAAATATTTCTTAAATAAATTCAAGATTTCATCATCACAAAAAATCTTCAATTAACAGTAAAGTTCAAAAAGATTTCTATGGAAAAAATGTCTTTAATAATTTGATCATCATAAAATTCATCAAACAAAAAGCAAGTTCGTTGAACTTTAACCCTGTTGTAACATAAAATATTCCCCTATTTAATCAAAAAACTGATATGATTTTTGGGCCATGACACGTGTCTAAATTAAAGGCCAAACTTTTTGTATATTGTCTTGTCTGGAAACCAAAAATATATATTTTTAAACATTCTTTTTATCACCACACACACACCGGGCATTGATAATAAAAATTGTCTGCGTGTGTTTGTATAAGCCAAAAAGACTGACAGACAGACATATCAAAAGTGGTAAGCAGCTCACGATTATTTTCATACATTTTTCCATGCGGCCATCCCTGGTTTCTAGTCTTAAATACATATAAATAGCATCTATATGTATTTATAAAATTCCCCTAAATATATATATAGTTTCCATTGTCTTCCTTTCTAAAATATAACCACAGTGTATACAAAATGAGCTTAGTTTTATGTGAGTTTGTATATATATTTTCAGTTGCTATCTAAGGTGATTATATCAATCACCGAATCGATAATGAATGGGATATTTTTTGTACTCAAAAGGAAATGGAGTGATATAATATAGAATAATTGATATTAATTATAATTATTTATTATTTATGAGATTGAGTGCTAAAAAAGAACTTTTATTTAGTGGTGATTTTTAATTGATAAACAAATAGACAAAAAAATTGCATATTTATTTATTTAAACTATATTTTAATTCTTCGCAAAATATATTTATAAGCTCAAATTTAGGAAATATTTTCATTAAACATAAATATATTTTTCTAAGATATTCATATCCTGAACATGGACTTGGGAATTATAAGGAAATTTCACAAAATTTCAAAATAGTTACTTGGGAATTATAAGGAAATTTAAAAAAAAAAACTCTGAGAGGAATTCATTTTTTAATTTTAAGCTTTATTATAGTTAAAAATATCTTATATCTTATAAAGTTATATTATAGGGAAACATTTTAAGGTAATTTTTTACTCCTATTGCTGGTATACCTCATATAAAATATAATTTTATCTAGAAAATTACCCTAAATATTAGTATTTTATTAAATAAATATTTCTTCTTCAAATAAATAAATTTAAAAAAGATTTGGGGATTCCTATTATTATTATATTTTTCTAAAATAAATATAAACCCCAACCACTTGCATAAATTCCTTTCAGCTAGTAGAGCACATCTCGTATTCGATACACTTCCCTGAATATCTCATCTATGTCATTGTTTTTATTTTGAGCGGCATTTATATAGGTGGACAGCAGGCGTGGTGGTGCCACCACCCAACACCCACCACCCACCGAACACCGACAGCCCAACTTTCGACGATTGGCAGTCGTCCACACGTTGCCAACTATTAGAACAATTGAATAAAAAAAAGTGTGTGTGGGAGTGTATCTGGGTGGCACTGAAAAAGTATCTTGTTAGTTGCGCTAATACAATTGTAAATGCTGAGATTTAAATTCAGTTTTTACTCTTTTATTTCTTTACGTTCTCGTTTTGTTTTTGTTTCTATATTTTTTTCTCCCCATTGCGTATGGGTATTATCGAGGAAATTTGCACACCAACTGAGTCGGGCTCAGGCAGATTGGCCAAACAACAGAGGAACACAGCACAAAAATCGCAAAAAATAACAAGACCCGAAAAATATCTAAAATAACAAACAAGGGAATTTCATAGAAGCAATATCCGGCAAAAAGGGGGAGAAGGATACAAGGGTTTCAGGGGGTGTGTGTGTGTGTTTGCCCAGACAGAAGTGCAACAAAATTTCTGCAATTGCATTTGGCTAAAATCGAAGCTGGAACAGAGATTCAAAAAGCAAAAAGCTTGCAAGTTCGCTTGGCTGCCCTTTTTCTCTCATCAATCTGATTAGATAAAGATATGTTTAGGTATAGATATGCTTTCGAATGGTCATTTGGTTGGAAAATCATGTAAAGAGATGGGCCAAACCTGAGTGAAATGAGTCATTTTTTGAAACAGTTCACTCTCAGAATGAATGTTGAACATTTCCTGAATTTGATATTATTATTATTATTTTTTTTATATTATTTATATTTAATTTATTAAACGATAAAGCTAAATTAAGAGATGTATAAAAAGATACAGCGTTGCTTTATTCCTGGGGTGTTAGAACTAGTTGGGAATCATAAGAGTAATTGTGTGATTTTTCTCATTACATTTTACTGCGAAGTCGCCATGATTTCTATGGAAAATTAACCAGCAAAAGAAATGCAATTAATTAATATTAAGAAAAGAACTGAAAAAAGTCATAAATTTATTTTTTTTAAAATATTTTTTTTAAATATAGAAAATAATTTTTATGAGTGTAAGTTTCATTTAAATATAAATACGTACATAAAATAAAAGCATAAGCAATAAGCTTAATAAGCAAATTCTTAACCTTAAATCCACTCCACAAATTTATAATTAAATCAGTAAACTACTCAGTAAGCAGTTTAACCTGATATTTATAAAAATTATTACACTCTTGACAAGTGTTTAACAGAATGTGTCATGGGTAGTAACTCGAGATGTAAAAAGTGTTATAGTTTAAGCCAAAAACAACTCAAGAAACTTGACTCTTCCGTTGAGTAAGCATTGTAAATGTAGAACCTTTAAAAAAAAGTTTTTAATATATTTACAATTTAATTTCTTTAAAATAAAGCAATAAATTAACTACTAATAAAATCCAAAATGCCATTTATCTTTTCTAGATTCTCCAGAGGCTGTCACTGAACCAAATAGACAACTAGAAATAAAATCTAGAGAAAATGGCTGACATGGAGGAGGTGCCAGGAAAACCTGCCAGTCGCTTGGGAATGCGGCACCTGCAGGCGGCCCTGCTCTTCGTTGGACTGGCGGCCAACACAATCCATCAGCTAAATGTGGGCTTTGCCATGGTGGCCATGACCAATGGCACATCCTCGACAACAGAGACGACGACGACGACGACATCGAGTGACGATGGCGACACGCCCGTGGGTAAGCGAAAAGGCAGCTTCCGGCACCCTGACTCACTTGGCTTTTCCCTTTTCCATGATTTCTATAGCACTACAACTGGTCGGAGACGGAGAAGGCGTACGTCCTGTCCAGCTACTACTGGGGCTCTGCTCTGGCCCAGTTCCCCGCCGGCTATCTGTGCAAGCGTTTCGGCTCTAAGGCTGTGCTCTTCTGGGGAACTCTGGGTTCCTCGCTACTGAGTGCCCTGACACCTCATGGTGTCTATGCCGCTGGCTGGAAGGCCTACTGTGGCATCCGACTGATGCAGGGTCTGTGCCAGGTGACCTGGCCGTGCATCCACCAGCACCTGGCCAACTGGTGTCCCACAAAGGAGCGAACGCGACTCGGAGCCTTTGCCTATACGGGCTTCGATTGCGGCAATGTCCTGGCCATGTTCGGTGCGGGCATGATAGCGGGATCACCCTTAGGATGGCCAGGGATCAGTTACTCTGCGGCAGGACTGGGCCTAGTATGGTGCCTGCTCTGGTTACTGCTGGGAGCCAATAAGCCCACCGAAGCCCGGTGCATTAGCGAGGCGGAGAAGGCCTACATCGTTGGGGATCTGCAGAGGGAAGAGCGCAAGGATCCGCCAAAGAAAATGGAGATCCCATGGAAAGGCATCTTTACCTCGGTGCCTGTGTTGGCTTTGCTCTGTGCCAGGTGTGCGGACACCTGGGGCCTGGCCACCATGCAGGCGGAGTTGCCTACCTACTTAAGCGGCGTCCTTCACCTGGACATGAAGAAAAATGCAGTTTACTCGGCTCTGCCGTTCCTGCTCATGTGGTTCATGTGCTATGTGTACTTGATCATCGCGGATTTCTGGCTCCAGAAGAACTGGTTCAGTCTGACGGCGCTGAGGAAGACCTACACGAGCGTGGCCCTCTGGGCACCAGCCTCCATTTTGCTAACTCTTGCCTTTGTGGGCGAAGATCAGAAGACATTGGTTTTGGTTCTTGTAACCCTGAGTGTGGGCGTGAGCAGTGCAGCCACCATTGGCAGTGAACTGAATACCATTGATCTGTCGCCTAATCATGCTGGCATCCTGGCCGGAATCCTTACCAGCTTCACCAATCTGGTGTCCCTGCTAACGCCACTGGTTGTGGGCGTCCTAGTCAAGGACTCCACTCAGCGTAGCCAATGGCAGGTGGTCTTCATTCTTGTGGCCGCCGGTCTCTTCGCAGGGAATGTGATCTTTCTGATTTGGGGCACAGCGGTGACCCAGCCCTGGAATGACTCCAAAGAGGCGAGGCGGAAACTAAAAGCCGAGGAGAAGCTCTTCCAGCATACCAAGCTGGAAATGGGGTCGGAGAATTTGGATGGCAATGGTGTAGCTTTAAGATTGAATTGTAAAAATCCCTGAGAAGTAGATTTACTTATTCGTTTTTATTGTTTAAATGGAAGGAGACTGCTAAGAACAAATTATTGCGATATATTTTTGTACTATAAATACAATCTCAACCATATAGATGAAGCTTTGCATTTATTTATAAATTCTATGATTACTGAGAAAGAGATCTCTCATCAAAAACTAAAATCATGCCTCAAGGTAATATCTCAATTTATTGTTGATTTACAAGACCATCAATAATTCATCCGGCTGCAATAGTTGCAGCATGATGCAATTGCAAAATGTCAATTTCCCCAAGCCTTTTCCTGCTGCCAATTGCTAAACATAATTTACGGCAAAATTCTAGCAAAACCAAACAGATATAAATTCTTCTAGGACAAGGCTTAGAGCCAGCCAGAGCCACCCCTCAGCCGTCTTTTTCTCCAGCTATATAGAGGCACACCTGTGCTCTAGAATGGACACTGAGCAAAAGTCCTGCATTAGGAAGACATTAAAACGTGTAACTACAACAAGGAATCGCATAAATAAATAACAACAGCTGCTCACTTTCCGCTTGCTGCTGCTGCTGCCGTTGCATATTTATAGGCGCATAAAATATTGTCGTTTATTTTTAATTTAATGACAAGAAATTTGTGCCCGCCCCTGGCTACCTTCATCCTCATTTCATCCTGGTAATGGCCCGTAGCAATTGCAATCTATCTTCCTGCTCGGAGAGCAGCGCCTTCCCATTTACGACAAAAGCAAAACAATTACAACAACAGATATCACATGAACGAGAAGCGATAATCAGCGGGGGGATACTACCAAAACGCCGCCGATTCACGAGGCTGTGATGGCTGAGAGGCAGGGATGGGGGTGGTGGCGGCTAGAGTGGACCACAGGCGCCGCTTTGGTCAGCGAGCCATCTGTCAGTGGTTGAAATTGTGGTGGGTAGAGGAAGCAGTTGCACTGGAAAAGATTTATAATGGTGCAGAAAGTTAAGGAAAATGATATAAATATTTTTAAGATTTTGTTTATAGTTGGAAAATAATTTTAAAAAAATATTAAGAATGTTTTTTAAGAGAGAAAAATGTTTAAGAAAGCTAAAATTAATTTTAAATTCTTTTTAAGTATTTGTTTATAAATAGAAAACATTCGTTTTTTTATTTTACCTGTTAATCTTTTTAATTATCAACTTAAAATGATTTATTTTTAATTTATAGAATTTTTTTTTAGATATTTGTAGCTAATTAATGTAAACAAAAATATATTTTAACAGTTTTAAATTGAATTTCAACATTTAAAAATTTGTTTCTTTAGAAAACATACAAAATTAAAAATTATAATAGCATTTTTTTGATAAATATTAATATTAATTATTAATTTGCTGTCTCAATTTATATTTTTTAATTAATTTAATAACTTAATTCCCAAAAAAAATATAAAAATCCTCCCATTTCCCTCACTGTATCTCCTGTTTAGTGCGCTCCGGCACGTTGATAAAACATTTCGCTTCGTTACGTTACATTTTATTTTATTTAGAATACGCACGCAGTTTACTTTTCTTTTTTTTTTCCACCATTCCATACCATTTCATGCCATTGCTCCCCCTTCCCTCAATCCTGGTCGCCGCGTTATGTATACGCCGCGTTGGCCATCAGCGAGGAGCATCATTTCGGTCATTATTTGGTTACGTGCGCTAAATGAGACGCAACCGAGACACGCCCCATCCGCCACATTTGAATTACGTGCGTGAAGATTACGTTATTTATAACTGACCCCCCCATCCTGCGGCCTCGACTCACCTTGGGTCCTACACTTCCTGCATATGTTGCTTCCTTTTCAGCGGCAAATTAAATGTTACGCTTAAAAGTTAGCACCTGATGGCAAGAGCACAAGAAGAAGGCTAATGATGCTGGCTGGCTGGCTGGTAAAATGCATTTTCCGCCGAACCACCTGCAGAGCTTTCCATTCCCTTACCTATTCGCCTCCTCTGGATTCTTAGGCTGGTTTAAGTGCCTGACGCATGGCCTTAATTAAAAGCAACTCCCCAGAGCCAACAAAAAGGGCAATGCACTTAGAGAAAATGTTTATTTTTAGTAGCTATTTAAGCAGAGAAAATTATGTTGTATTAGGAAATATTTTTAAAATTTTAAAGAATTTTTAAAAGATTTTTGTTTATTATTTTTATTAATTTCTTGACTTATTTTAGTCATTTTCTTACCGTGGAAGTATGTGTGTTTGGTTGTGTATATAAAAAATCAACTTTAACTGCAAGTCAAACTCGAACGCAACACAAACTAAGAGCAACTTTTTTGGCAACTCCCCCCGGCTCCCTTCTGTTCCTGAAAATGTTGTTGCACGTTGGCAACTTTCTTTTTTTTAGGCACCTGGACGCGTGTCTGCCGAGCGTGGCAGCTTCTAATTAATGTTCTCCATCCCCGTAAAACTTTTTAGCTGGCGCCCAGCAACTCAAATTTAAAAAACAATTTTTTCTAGAATTATTACACCGACCTGAGAATACCAAATAAAATAAATAAGCTTAAATTTTCATTAAAATACTATAGTTAAACTAATAAGAAATATTAGAAAAATATTATGAAAAACCCAAGAATACAGCTAACAATAATTACATTTTTTAAGGTACTAAAAATATATTTAAATAATAAATAAAAAACATAAATAAATGTCTCAATAAATCAGTTCATTTTAATCTGTGATCTTCTTACAAAATAATTCTAAAATAATTCCTGAAAATATATTTTTAAGAAGCTTAAAATAAAGTTTAATAAATAAAAGTATTCATAAAATAAACCAATTTTTATATCAGATCTTCTCATAAAAATAAACTTGATATTTCATTTTCAAAAGCCACCAAAGAGGAGTTTAAGTTATTTAACAGAAATTCCACCGCTGCCACTCTCATATAATATTCTCTTTTAAAAATCCAGAGTATGAAAAAAAAGAATGCGCCGGGCCAAGTGCAATTCACTCAGACTCATTCACCGAATCGTTTTCTATATATTACGTTAAAAATTTTTCATTTGCTGCATGTGCTTTAATTGCTCCCGTCGCTCCTTTCTGTGGCCATGCCACTGTTTCACTCAGCCAAGTGCTGCAAACTTTTAAATTAAATCCTTGTAATGCTTTTTGGACAAATGGTTTTAGTCCGACGACCATGGACATGGACATGGACATGGCCTTCTTGCCTTCTCTGGGGCAAAAGTTGTCATTGACTTGAAGTCCCAAACGGAAATGGGCAGCTTGAAAAACTTGCAAATTGAATCCTAATTGTTTTAACATTTTTGTCATTGGCAAAATTGCCTTGATTAGCACACGAGCCAGCAAGTTGGTTTCCCAAAAAACTTGATGTAATTTCATTAGAGTCTAAAGATTTCGTTTCATCACAAAAGTTCCGGTGGACTTAATGACTGTGTGAAAATAGTTATTAGACAAGGCAATAAATACTTTAAGTTTTCTATTAGGGTTAACACTTGAAGGAAGGGGGAAAGGATTTAGAAAGGGAAGTGGCGTTATTTTTACTTTATATGTGTTTAGATAAATTCGTTTTTAAATTTCTTTAAACTATTTAAATACAAATAAAAACTCTACGAAAAAACTATTATATTCTTAAGCAAAAACTAAATGTTTTCTTGAATTTTCAGAACATTTTTTTCAATAAAAAATCATCTACAAACTTTCTTTCAATTTTATTATATTTTTTGTTGGAAAATAAACACCCATCACTTTGTTATATTTTCTTTAAGACAGCAATTACCTTAGCCTGGACTTGTGAAATACTATATTCAACACTATGTATTTTGTTCCCAATTTTGCTTTGTTGTCCATGAATTTGTATAAAATGTTCCCTCTGGCATAAACTCCTTATTTCCTTACACTTCTTAATACATTTTTCTTTATACATTTTTAGCCAATTTATTTTAATGGCAAATTAGGCAAGGAATTCTTACCATACATCGTGGTATATATACTTTTTTTTCTAGGAATTTCTGAGTATTTGGTTCCCTTTTGTTGGCATCACTGAATATTTTATATCATTTGCTTGTGGCATGTGGCAGTTGCCAATTGCCGGTATTGTCAGAGCGTCAAAAAACGCGAAGAAAATAATGTTAAAAATACATAAGTAAGGCAGCATGGTTGGGTAGGACAATGGCAGCCTGCCAGCAGCCGGAAATTCAGTAACATACGATATGACAGGATATTCCAAGGCCTGGGCAGGGGGGGTTGTCAATTCTGGGGTGTAGGGGGGCGGCTGATATGCGAAAGGGTGCCGCCGCCAGTAGCAAAAGGGGTTGCTCTTGTACAAGGATTTAACGTATGACAACATCAACAATGAATGTAATTCAATATGCAAATGGGCTGCAGCAATTTTCTACTTTTTCATACAGTTTTCCATGCACATTTAGCAGAGAGAGAGAGAGAGAGTTTCCCATTTTCCAGCAGCAGGCTGCCTGATTATGATGAGTTGTGTTTTGCATCCATTTTGTGAAATGCAATCGCAAATTTTCTGCCGCTAACCAAAATAGAAATTTGATTCGCTAAGGCTGTCATTGTCTGTTGATAGGTGTGAATATTCCAGGTAGAAAAAATATTAGAAACTATAATATAACTACTTTTGGTGTTTTTTTTATAATAAATTTATTGAGTTCTATTCATTTTATGAAAGAATTTTTCATAAAATATTAAATAATTAATAAAAAAATAAGGTAAAGAACTATCAAGGTTAGCAGTAAGTACCCATTTTCTCCCCATGCATAATGCCTGACCAGCGCCAACATCTCGTTGGACATGGCCTAATAATGTTGCCGTGCCAAGGTTGGACAAGATGACAGCCCACGGATTCAACTGTGACCCAATCGGGTTTGCGTTTGGCTCAAATGCATCTGGCATTGGCATCGGCATCGGCATCGGTCGTTCGTGTAGTAATTAATTAGACTCGCAGGCATTTTATATGAACAAAGTGCAATGCCGTTTCACTAATTGAACATGAACATGGCCACTGCCAGTGTTGATGATGATGATAATGATGGTGATGTGCCACTAGCATCATTCGCCCCAAGCCACCCACCAACTCTATTCACCCAGTCGTCGACAATGATGACGTCCAAGTGTAGGCT